ATTTGGGAGTAATTTGGGAATTTTGGCGGATGGCAATTTGTAATTTCGATGAGCAGTAGAATCATGAAGCCAACTCATATTTGGCGATCTTAGGTTTGCTTCGAGCGTGGTCGTGGGTTTTTTGCGCTTGTATTTGGATGATGAAGGCCACACAGCAGCTTCCTTGAGCTTCGAGCCGTGTTATTTGGACCGAGGCGCCCGTCGTCGTCGTTCTTTTCTCTTGCTCTGTTTTCTCCCGCCACCACCACCATTCTCCGTTGAGCCCTCGCCCGTCCAACCGGGGTCGCTCGAGCCGTCGCAGCGATGCGTGTCCCAGCTCCGCTTAGTTCCTTGCGCACCAGCCGGCCTAGCTCTAGTCGCTGATTTCGCCGTGAACTCGCTGTTCATCGTTTTCTTCTTCGCGGTCGGCAAAGACCACCGTGGTGTGCGCGCGCGCGTGGCGGCAAGCGTTACGGTGAGCCTCTGCTATTTTCGACTCTTGCTTCACCGCCTCGATGCCGTGGTGCTTTGTGCCGGTTGATTGACCATTTCCTCCACCGCGATCATTTGGAGCATCGCCGTTGTTGAAATTTGCTCCGTCATGATCGCTGTGACCGTCGAACCGTGTCTCCGTTGCTTCTCAGGCTCGGCCAGCGACTCCAGTGTGTTCGGGGTGAGCTCCTGGTTCTACCCGAGTTGTTTGTTTCATCGTTACCGAGTTCCTATCGTCGGCGTAGCGCAGCTGCGCTGCCGCGTCCGCCATGGCCGCCGTCGAGCTAGTATAGGGCCGTAATCAGTACAGATAGGGACGTCAATCGATGCGCCTAGTCTTGGTGATCGTTTTGGTACTTTGGCCGTCGCCGTTGGACTCACCGTCGGCGAGGAATCGCCGGTCAGAGCCGTCGCTGCTGTGGTCAACGTCGAAGGTTGAAAATGACAAGTGGGACCCGGTTGTCAGTGACTCAGCGTTCAAAATGGATTTTCTATTTTTCTGAAATAAGTGAATAGTGTCTGTTTTTGTTATTTTTGTATAGATTTATTTAGAGCTCCAAAAATTATGAAAATTTTTGTGTGACTTCTATGTGACGTGTATTATTTAGGAAAAATATGAAATGTTGATTTTCAGTACTTTTTGAATGTGATAAAAATTGCTCAATTAATTAATAAATGAGTTTCTAGGATTTTTCTAGGCTTATTTATATATCCAAAAATTATGAAAATTGTTTTGTCACTTAGTTATCATGTGATGAACATATAGAAAAAAATTTAGGTCAATTGGAACAAGTTGATTTATTTCATAATTATTAATTAATTAATAACTGGAAACTCTGAGATCGCCGAATCGACTTAAATACCAGGGCCAAAAACGCGTAGTAACCTTCGGTTAACCGTTTTGAACGAAGCGAGGACGAAAATTCAAATGGGTTGCTACGCGGGTCGGACCACTCCTAGGAAGAGTGGGCCGGGGCCATGTATGTCGGGACTGGACGTTACATTATCCATCCAACAAAACGACAGAGCTATCATATTGCTACAAAAAGAACTCATCAACCATGAAGCAACGAAAGGTTATCTCACAAGGAGCATAACAACCCGGTCCTTATAGAAAGAACTCGGGAATCTCAAAAAAAAACCAGGACATCAGCAGGATAAAGAGTGACAACTCAGAAGACAAGTTCATTCCATTACAAATGACTTCAAAAGATACAAGATTACACACCTTACAAGATCCAACGAACTCGGTACTACGACAGACAAGGTAGCAAAAAGGAACCTGGAAACGACTGGGTTCTGAACGACTACGTGTTCCAAATTGCTACTCGGCAGAACAAACCGCACTCGGCTACACTGTTTTCTTCAAAGGACGGACGCAGTGCATCCAAGGCGGAAATCAGCAGCACGACAGGACAACATAGACCAGGGAAAGTCGACAGACATCTGTCTACCCAAGTCCGATGTGATACCGGATATAGTGTTGATCTGCACCGGACAGTCTCAAGACAGGCGTCGAGGATCAACCCAGAACTACTGGATGAAAGAACGCATCCCACATCACAAGACTTCCTCCAACTACCGCCACATACTTCCAAGTATGAAACCGCTGCGGGATTAGTCTACCTCTAATCCCTATCACAAGACTTCCTCCAGCTACGACAAGATGCACATGAACTATAAAATACGCCCGGGGCTGCTCTACTTCACAAACTATCATATTCATGACTACGGGGATTTCATACCACACAATAAAGTACTCGATGAATCAAAGTAGCACACAAGGAGAATATTTATAGGCCAAAGAAGCAGTGCACATGGACCAGGAGCACCAGCGGAACAAACCTAACAAAGGACACGGTGAAAAAACAGAATTCAATAAAAGAGAACTCAAGCGTGAAGAAATAGTACTCAACAACAAGCATATTCGGGAGAATATACCAACACTATACAACCTGTGAACAAAAGGCATTTACACTCAACCACCACCATACAACTACACCTGACAACAGCAGACTCTACCTCTGAAAGCAGCAGACTCTACATCTGAAAGCAGCAGACCCTACATCTGACAACAGTAGACTACCAGAGGATATGCCAAGATTCTGTATCCGAGTTCTTTTTGAAGAATGCTCGGGGGCTACATCAGGAGAAGTTTTTAGTTCTTTGAACAACTAAGATTCAGGACCCTCCAACTCTTTGTTCCAAATAGCAAGAGGCTCGGGGGCTACACTCAGTGAGTGCGCTTTTTCTTCAAAAAAGCGCACATCACTCAAAAGACTTCTTCAAGACAAGAGTTGCAAAACAACATAAGATTCAAGACCCTCCAACTTTTTGTTCAAAATAGCAAGAGGCTCGGAGGCTACACTCAGTGAGTGCGCTTTTTCTCAAAAAAAAGCGCACGTCATTAAGAAAACTTCTTTAAGATAGATCACTTCAAGACATCAAGACAAAAAGAACCCGGACCTAGCTATACCCGAGCTTTTTTTTGATAAAGAACCCGGGTATATGCTCAGGAACCCTTCGACAAAGAAACAGAGTGATTTCAAGAGAAGACCCTCTAGCTCCTTGTGTCAAAAAGCAAGAGGCTCGGGGCTACACCCAAATGGGAATACTTTTTTCTTCAAAAAGGTACACACTAACCAAAGATCTTACAAAGCGCTACACGGTTTCGCTCAAGAAAGCACTCGGACAACGCTTGTTTCTACTTGGCAAGACCTGAAGGAACAAGACGAAGCTTCCAGAACTCAACCATGAAGTGCTCGGAGGCTTGTCGATGCGGGACCCACATGATACCCCGCCAGGAAGAGAGAAGATCTAGTCCAACTAGGATTCTTCCTATGTAGTTCTAGTAGTAGTATTATCATGTAATCCTACTAGGAACTCTCATTGTAAACCGACTAGGACTCTGATCTCCTGACTATATAAAGGAGGCCGGGGTTCCTAGAGAACGGACGACACAACACAACAACACACAATTAATCCAACGCAAAGGCTAACGCCGACTGAACGTAGGGCTATTACTCGACCACAGTCGAGGGCCTGAACCAGGATAAATCGACTGTCTCTTGCGTTCACCGTCGAGTTCCGCATACGCTGAAGCCCGAACATACTGTCCCGGATAACCCCGTGATAGGCTATCGGTGGTAAAACATCGACAGTATACTGACATTATTGAGCTCAAAGAGCCAAAAAGGATGACCCGAACTTTCAAAGTTCATAGCCTGATACCTCCCCAGCTTATCATCATTAGGTTATTGCATCAATTTTTTTATAAAAATGTCTCTGTACAAAAAGACCTATATTGAGTGAATCGAAATCTGTGAAACCCACTATCAACTTTTCTGTTATAATCACAAGCAAAAAAAATAAAGGTCAAAGAGAAAAAAACAGTTAGACTTGGAAATTCCAGACTCCAAAAATAATATCATATTAGCTGCTATTGTACTTTTCTATAACCAAGACATGTCAACAATGAACATAAGAAAATGGAATTGAAACTATTAGCTCCATAAGAAATGCAAACAAATCATTCTTGTGCTACACATGTGAAGTAAATCTGAATATGAGTTAGTTCTATCTCTGAAAAAAAAATCAAGATCCATTCAAGACCTTACCATTTTAGGAGTAAAAATATAACAAGAATTATAAGGGTTTAGACTTTTGTCGAGGCACCCTGGTTTGAACATAACTCTGCAAAGGGAGATATATGAATGTATAGAGAATAAATGCTGCATCCTCATTTCTTGAAGAATAGGAAAAGCAGCAGGCTGCTAGTCCGCATCAACCTCCCTCCTTCAAGCACATCTGTTGTTGCCACCACTGCCAGACCCAATGCCAACCATTGCTTTGTTCCTATGTTGCTTCAAATACAGAAAGGGATGCAGGATTCTATGTAAGGAAATAAAGAAATCATTAGTAGCAGAATACATATAGCAATCAGAAAGTGAGGCACCCCATATTGAACTGGACTACCAAAGCAGTTCTCAGGTTCATTTAAATGGTGCTGAAAAGGCACCTCGGTCCTAAATTTTAAGAAAATAGCAAAAAAAAAAAATCATCTGTGCTGCCAAAATAATTTGAGAAAAGTTACAGCAGACTGAAAACAAAACCTTCTTCATCACCTACCTGCAGCCTGACAAACTTTTTTTCGTTCACATACAAAAAATAAAGAATGGTCCCTCTAGAAAAGGCATATTTATAGACTTATGGTTAGATAGTTCAAGAAAATTTCCAAAATATATAAAATGCACACAAAATGTTCGTATTGTTTTTATTACAAAGTCTCAGATGTTACTCCCCTAAAAAAAACTCAGATGTTACAACATAAACAGATGGGCATGTACCTAAGTTGGGACATACAGAACAAGACTAGTAGTGGAAAATATGACAGGAATTCCAAATATCTTCATATAGGATGTGCTCGGACCAGTCAAATTAACATTTCCAGAAAATTAAGAGCTAATCAACTGGTAAAGGTGCCAATCATGAACTACAATAGTACAGCAATAAGCAATGTTCTGTTAATGTTAAAACATCAAAAGATTTGTGGAGCACTGCACAACAAATTCCTCAAGCAGTGTTCTTGTGAGCACATAAAACACAACGCCGAGGGCGATGGACACTGGTAGGGCAGGCAATGCCTTGCGGAAGAACGCCAGTAGGAGCAGAGTGATGCCAAGCCCTGCAATGATGGCAAGGTAGCAGGCATACACTGTCATGTAGTCATACATCGCTGCCCTACCGACCAAAACGCTGTAGAATATGAAGTCCCCCAACCCGAGCTTGATCGCCCCAGATGAGCTCAACCCAATACCATCTTCATCTTCCACCGCCTCTTCCCCAGATCTCTGTGGGCGTGGCTGGATCAAAGGTACACTCATTTCAGCAACAGCCACTCTATGCTCTGGTAATGCTGAAACCTCCCCGGCTTGTGCAACAGTAGAATCAGAGGAGCTGAAAGCGGCCACCAATGTCACCCTGGGCCTTGAGTTACTAACATCACCGTCAGCTTCATTATCATGGGATGATGAACTGTTTCCAGAGTTGGCATCAAGATTCCTCCCCAATACCTCCCCAATCACCTCAACCGTGGATCTGGCATCCAAATCTGCACCAGGTTGCGTCCCTTCCCTCCACAAGCGCCAATTCCGGCCATGGCGGGGATCCACCGGCCTGGCCTCGTAGACCAAGGCCGGTATCTCCTCGTTCCTCTGTATGGCGAGCTCAAGCAGCACCCTCAAAGGGCCACCAGGGAGCAGCACGGCCGCGAGGTCGTAGATGGCCATGGCGACGAGCAGCGCCCAGGTGGTCCACTCGGGCAGCAGCGTGAACCAGAAGGCGGTGAGCACGGCGACGGCGACGAGCGCGGCCTGGTGGAGCGCGATGGGGACGGAGGCCGGGGCCAGAGCGGCGAGCGCGAGCGCCCCCGCGGCGTTGGGCAGGAGGAGCGCGAAGGAGACGGCGTCGAGCGGGAAGCGGAGGCGGGAGAGGAGGAGGAGCGCGACCTGGCCGCCGAGGACGAGGAGGACGGCGAGCGCGGAGAAGCCGAGGTAGGCGCGGAGGCAGGGCGTGCAGCGGAGGTAGAAGAGGAGCGCGAGCAGGAAGGTGGCGGCCGTGACGGCGACGACGAAGGTGAGGGCGGTGATGAGCGCGGTGGGTATGTCGTCGTCCCCTCCTCCGGAGACGCCGCCGGTGGCGGCTGCGATGGAGGCGGAGAGGGGCGAGGGGGAGGAGGGCGAGGAGAGGAGGGAGACCAGGAGGACGACGAGGAGCATGCAGGCGGAGACGGGGTAGACGATGCGGGTGATGTCCTCGCCGAGCGAGTCCAGCACGGTGGTGCCGGCGGGGGCATCGCCGGGCACGGCGGCCGCCGCGGCGGCGTCTGCCATTTGGTGGATGTGGAATGCGGATCGCTTCCGTTGGCGTTGGGCGAGTATTGACTTGTTTGCGCCCGCTCAGTTCAGTCCTCCTGTGTACCTCCCTCTTTTTCTGTCTGGTGCCTCTCTTCCCATAATTCTCAAGATTTTTTTTTTGCCAAGTCTAAATGCCTAATGCCCTACTTCGTGAAATTACTTGCATCTAGAATTTTCGGGTATCACTAATTCTCCATCTCTGTCCAGCAAAAGTGATTTGCAAGTTTGTAACAAACTGTGAAACAAGCTTACTATGCCCCAGGGTACAGGAAATGTGACCATGGCCCTCACTCAATTCTCTGGCATCGAACACAGTTCAGTATTGAGGAACAGAACTGCACTACTGCAGTGCTACGTCTGAGAACACTGACCATTTCTAATACCAGAGTGCTACTGCTAAGTAAATCTATCAAAGGCATTCATGGCATCAATATCCTTCACATTAGTATGCGCAGAAAAAAAATATATCCTTCACATTAGTAGCTAAGTTATAGTTTTTATTTTTTTTGTCACCGAACTGATACGGAATAACAGAAACCACCGAAAGCTAACTTTTGGTTCAGACTTTGGACCCCTGCTGCTGCAGTTCCTGTCATTGAGACCTGAAAGGTTGAGACAGAGCAATTGACTACCCACTTTCAAGCAGCTGCTTTCCTGTTTGAGACGCTGCAGAGTTGGGTGATGCTGCAGCCTTTTCATGATCAGGAACTTTGTGAAACTTCCTTGCGGCTTGCCAATCCTTTGCTGGATGTGAAGACCTTGCCGTAGAGGTTGCAATCGTGGGTTGCTGAGTTGCTGTCACCTTCAACACTTGCGATAGACCGATGAATTTCAGCTTCACATCAGAGTTACGGCTTTCTGGCATCAACAACTCAGCATCCCCAGTTTGGAGGTGACCAGAGTAATCCAGCTCCATCTCACTCTTCTAATACTCATACTAATACTTATAAGCCGAGTGCCTGAGTCCATGCCAGAATGTCCTGAAATCATCATCAGAACACGTGCAGCATTCATCTCCTGACCTCCTCTATCCCATATGTCAACATTGGCGAAAACCTTGAAGCACAATTGACATTGTCTTTGGGACCGGTGTCAGGTACTCATCGTCGCTAGAATCGCACATTCACACAGCAACCAGGTACTATGTCGCCTCTCCAGGAGACCATACCTGTGGCACCATCTCTGATGTTGGGAAGGCTAGGCATGTTCTTAGAGAGCTTCTTTTGCTTGCGTTTGCCGTTGTGAAGATTCATGTGGCCTCTGAGTGAATAGTATGATGGGAAGCTTTTCCTGCATAGCTTATGCACCAGTGCTTCCTTCCTCTTGGTGGCATCCCTGAAATGTACAGAGCAAGAATCAAAGAAGTGATGGACATGATATGGATGCAAGGAGGAAATAAGATCCAGGAACAGAAACGATACACGGACAAGTATAAATCTTGATTCATGATATGGATGCAAGGAGGAAATAAGATCCAGGAACAGAAACGCTACACGAACAAGCGTAAATCTTGATTCTTGAAACCACTCCTCGCAATAAAGTGGTTATTTGTTGCAGAAATAAATTTGGGAAACCCCTTGTTTTGAAATTGACTACGGTGTGAACTTGTGAAATGCCTTGAATTTTACCCAAAACCTTGAGCTTTTTTCTCCCTTGAGGAAAGGAAAAGGGGATTCCTTTTGGATACAAAAAGAAAAGAAGAAGAGGATATTCAATTGGATTGGTACGAAGAGAGAATAGGCATCATGTTCAGTGAGCGACAAAGTGATGAAACCTGAAAATTTCCAATTCACAGTGCTGAACTACAAGTGGGACCAAGATCGATACCATTGCTCAAGCGCAAACACAGGCTGAGCTCAGCACAGCACTGGGTTCCACCCCCACACAGTTCCTATCTGTGGTTTAGTAGGCTCTGCCTGGGACCAACACACTGTTGCCCTCCACTGATCATCCTCTGCAGCACAATGTTATGAGAAATGTCCTGATAATGTGACGTGTGGTTGTTCGAAGTATTTGAGATGATGACAGCTTTTTGCAGGTTCTTTTTTGCTGCAGATTGATGATAAGTTCATCTGTGGAACAAATAAGTGAACCAGAGGACAAGATGCGAGGAATGCTCACAAAAGAATCATGAAGCAAGTGAGCAATTAATCTGTACAGCATATAAAAAACATTAGGAGAATTCGAAATGTGGTTTCCCGAGTGGCTTACTTGTCTATTTAATGTGGTTTGGATTGTATAGTTATGTTTGTTCTTATGAACTGAATGGTAAGATACAGGCAAATGAAGATACAAACACAGAAATTGCTCAAGCACGATCAACAGAAAAGTTGTTTCTATACGTCTATAAAAAAAACCTGGTAACACCCAACTCTGCAGCAAAAAAGATCCACTGAGATTCCATGCATAATTGTTAGCAATACTAACTAAAAGAAGGGGTCAACAAGCACATAAATGTAGATACAACAATTGGCATAGTAACACTTCTTACCTGCGAATGCCTGCTGTAACTTATGCATATCATACCTAATATCACGCATCAGCACTCATAATCCCATTTACCTGCCCCTAGGATCCACTGAAATATGTGAGGTTCCTCTTTCTCCCTGGGTAATTTTGTATTTCTGCAAACACCAAAGTACCAAACAGATGATAAAGTGAAGACATAGTATTATCACAAAAAAAATACATAATAATAAAATTAACACAATGTCTAACCTGAATTACCTTTTAAGTAAAATCACATATTCAACATATCGAGAAATGGTTCCATGGATCCCTCAGTGGAGGAACACAACAATGTAAGGCATCACAAGCACTACTCAGAAAAGATACCAATAGTTTTGTACCAACCATACTGGTCAAATGCTCAAATTCCTTTACGTTGCCGAGATTCAGTGGGATTACAATCGCTAGCAGCATTACACACGGGTTCAGGATCTACAGGTAGTAGCTCAACACCTCTAAAAGGCACTTCCTTTCTGCAGTTTCTTATCATGTTCAGCCTTCTAATTGCATCCTCCATCCGTCTTTCAAGATTTTCAAACTGCTTATATGCCGGAATAAGACCCCTTTCTGCTATATCCTCCAGTAGTTCCTCTCCATTCTGCATTCTCCCTGTCGAATACATAGCTCCAGTGAGTGTGATATAGGTAGTAACATTCGGCCAAAGACCCTTAGATTTCATCTCTCCATAAAGATCAAGTGCATCAGAGATATGGTTGTCTTTGCATAAACCAGTAATTAGAACATTATAACTGACAACATCAACCTTCAATCTACACAACTCCATTAGCCTCTTCAAGTGCAAAGCATCAGCAATCTTGGATTCTTTGCAAAGACTGTGCATTAGAGTAGTGAAAGTAGCAACAGTTGGCACCATTCCTGAACGCATCATACTACTGAAAACTATGACTGCCTCCTCAAGTTTTCCACATCTACAAAGTCCTCTAATAATTGAGCTCTCAGCAACTTCAGCAGGCACAATGCCAATAGCTTTCATTTCTTCTTTTAGCCTGAACGCTCTATCAATCTCACCAACCCGACATTTTGCATTGACCAATGCAATATAGTGTGTATGGTTTGGTTGAAGCCCTACTTGTAACATCTCATGTAAAACTTCGTGACTCTGGTCCAAGTAATTTTTTCTGATCAATCCATTTATCATGGCACTAAAAGTTTGACTGCTGGGTGACATATGTAACCACTTCATACAATTGAAAAGTTGTAGTGCATTATGCATCTTGGATTTCTCACTGAAAGCTGTAATCAGTATATCAAAAACTAACCTATCGGGGAAAATGCCTTCTAAGATCATCTTCTCCAAGAACTTAACTGCAATGTCAATCAACCCACACTCAGAAAGACCAAGAATGAGCAAGCGATATGTAACATTGTCTGGCCTGATTCCTTTCCTCACCATATATTTGTACAGATATAAGGACTTTGAAAATTGTCCCCTCTTGACATACCCATGCATAAGTATGTTATAGCTAGCAGAGTTTGGATAAACCTCATTCTGATACATATCGGACATCATCCTTTTTATAGTATTCACGTTTCCACCCTTGAGGTACCCATTCATCAATGAATTATAGGCAATACAATCTGCATACAGGCCTTCCTTGCATATGATCTCCTGGAAAACATAAGAAGCAGCCTTCACTTGGCCTTCATTGATCAACCCATTCAGCAAGCAGGTATATGTAACAGTATCAGGGACTACTCCTTTCTCCAACATCATCTGCAACATGACTAACGCAGGCAAAATCTTACCTTTCCTGCAAAAACCACTGAGAAGAATGGTGTAGGTATGGATATCAGGTAAACAGTTGTTTTTTACCATTTTCTCACATAGATCCAAAGCTTCATCTAGGGTTCCATATTTGCAAATCCCAAGAAGTAGTGCATTGAAAGTTTTCTCATCAATAGCAGAAGGTATGTCAAGAAGACAGAACATAAACTGCTTTGCTTGTACCAAGTGCCCTCCTTGACATAATCCTCTAAGCAAATTCTGATATGTGCAAACATTTGGAGAATGGCCATATCTAACCATATCATCATAAACTGAAAATGCCTCAACTATGTTACCTCTGTGGCAATAACTATCAATTATGCAGTTAAAGGAGACAGAATCAAATGATATATTCATCCTGGACATGTATTGTCTGAAGTGTTCAACCTCTGTAATCATTCCCTCTCTATAGAAAGCACGTAATAATGCATTATGGATAACTGGATTGGCAATTAGCCCCCTTCGATAAATGTCCACAAAATGCTTTAGTGCTTCCTTGACATACCCTGCCTTACAATAGTAACAAATCAGAGTTGTATATAGCACATCATTAGGTAAAATTCCACTTTTCTGCATCCTTGACAAAATTTCTTTTGTTTCATGCAACTTAGCCATCCTGCACATACCATTGATCAATGCTGAATAAGTGACGACGTCTGGATCAATTCCATCCTCAAGCATACTCTTCAAAATTTGTTTAGCATTGGAAATCTCACCCACTTGACAGAAACCATCAATGAGAATAGTACACATCGTCTTATTGATGGTAATACCTCTTGATTTCAGATCTTCCATAAGATCTAGAGCAGGTCCCAACATGGAAACTTTGCAGTAACCATTCAACAAAGCACTATAAGTTAGTTCACTTGGCAAGACACCAGTAATTTGCATTTCCGACAGAACACTTAGGGCCTTATCAATTCTCCTGTTTCGGCAGTACCCATCAATCATTGTAGTGTAAGTAGCTACACTTGGAACCAAAGTTTGTCTCAGCATATGATTAAAGACATAGCGAGCATGATTTATCTTACCTTCACCAAAAAAACCATGGATCAAAGTATTGTAGGTACATTCATCAGGTGTTAAGTCATCTTTCCTCATTCTTTTGAGCAAAAGGAAAGCACGCGCACTCCTCTTTATTCTACATAATTTATCTATCATGATGTTATAGGTGTATATATCTGCCTGTATACTATCCCTCTCCATATCTTCTAGAACACACAGGGCAGCCTTAAATCTCCCCTTCTTAACACACCAATGTAGTATTGTATTATAAGTGACAGAATTAGATAGGTGACAGCTCTTCATCTTCTGAAGCATATCTTCAGCCTTTCTAAATTCACCATTGGTGCATAGGGAATTCAGAAGAATGTTGCAAGTGGTAACATCCAGAGGAAATTTACGAGCCAAACTCTCTCTCAAGAACAACCAAACATACTTTGATTCCCCTTCCTCCACAAGTGCCTTAAGGATGGTATTGCAAGCAACAGGTGAAGCCTTAAATCCACAGTCATCCATAAAGAAAACTGCCACAGCTGCGTCTAGCACTTTTCTTTCCTTGACATACGCTTTGACAAGGAGTTCAAAAACGACATGATTGGTGGAATCAAAACGTGAAATGGCCCGCAAGAGGGACGTAAAAATAGCAGTGCAGGAGAAGCCCGTCACAGCAAGATGCCTCAACACTGACATTGCTTGCGAATGCATTTGAGCCTGGATGAGAATTGGAACAGCCATACAGTAAATGTAGGTAATTCGGTCTAAACCTGATCGCTCCACAATAGAACTCAGTATCTTCAAGGCCAGCTTTCCATCAGACTTGCCAAGGCTCCCAAATTTGTAGGCCATGTGATTCAGGGTCTCCCACCACGTCATAGTCTGAATAGTAATTATGCTACTATCAATTCCATGTGCTGAAAGAAAGAACCAAATCAATGAAACAGCGATTTGATACCACCCAGAAAGAAGAATAGCACTCAGGAATCTGATGGGGCTTAGAGTTTGACTTCTAGCTTCTAAAGGAAATGCTACTTCAGTCTCTAGGATTGGCATCTGGTACTGGAGTAGCGCACACTATCATATGCAATGTATGTACATTTCTCTGTGGAGATAATCTTGAGTTGAACTGATAGACAAACAGAGAACAACCCTAATCAGAGTTTGACATGTCCATTATTACAGTAATTATTATCAAACACATTAAGGAATCGGTTTGCAACAGATGCTACAAATAGATGATGAGAGGATCAAGATAGAAAACATGTGTGGAATGCACAACCACCAGCATTCTGAAATCTTCAGATTTGCACGATGTAATGAGCGCTTCTAGTAATTGCAGAAAGCATGAAGTTAGGGTAATTCTTATAGGTCTGGGGTTTCCATTTTGCACTAGAAAGATCAACTAAAGTACTAATACCCAATATCTTTCCCCTAATCCTTAGAATTAACGAGCTACGGAACATAGAAATAACATGCACACAAGTTTGCTGACTGACTGTGACTGTTCCTATTTGCTGACACTGGTTGGGCTCAGGCAGTTTGCGTTTTCGCAGAGAATTTTACCTGAGGTGGTGTTGGAGCTGGCAGCGATACGGGGGCGGGCGGGCGGCCTAGCGCGGGAAGGGAGCCGCGAGGAGCAAGCCGCCGCATTGCACTCGACGATCCTGCGGCGATACGAGGAGTGCGCCAGCGACGAGAACGGCCGCCGTGCCATGGTAGCTGAATAGTTAGCGACCCCCCTGGCGTTGGCGTGATGAGAAGAGGGGACGCCGGCGCAAAGGCGAGCCGGTCGCACGGCGGGGTGTCGAGCGGCGGCGCTGTGGGAAAGCCGGAGTAGGAGAGGAAAGGGAGTCGAGTGACTTGCGTCTGCAAAGCCACGCGCCACATCCACCTTCCAATTTTTGATCCGATGGTCGCCAGCGTTTCAAGGAAATTTAACTATAATCTGCGAATGCAGGATAATGACTACTCCGGCGTCTGTCTGTCCGGACGAACCAACCCGCTCGTGTCGGTCTGCTCCTTCCATCATATCTACTGCGCGGCGAAAGATCCGGTGATGATAAGCAGCCCGTTCGTTTGGTCGTAAATGATTATGGATTATTTAGTATGAGAGAAAAATACTATCCTAACTTATAATCCACGATCTTATACGAGCAAGCGAACAGACCGTGTGGAGCCCACGATAACGGCGGCCACGAAGGGGTTCTCGCTGGCCTCGTGGTAGGCGGAGTCAATTTGGTCGATGGTGGCGCTGGTCGATGATGGTGACAGCGCGGCTGTCTTATAGGTGAACTCAACGTACTGGCGAGCCTCCATTTCGTAAGCAATAAATAGATGTTACACTTTAAAAACTCATGTTGCAAGCTTCTATTTTAATTGTTGCAAATATTCCAGATGTATGTTGTAAGTGTTTTATATGGATGTTGCAAAAGTACATCGTGATGTTGCATATATTGCAATGGTTGTACACATATGTTGCAAACATCTATTCCCATTGTTTCATTTGTTTTTTTAGACGTACGTTGCAAGAGTGTTTATCTGGATGTTATATATGTTTCACACATATGTTGCAAATATTTTATCGAAATACTGCGTATGTTTGCAATGGTTTTAAGTGTTTTTTTCATATGTTTTTGCAAGTGTTTCAGACGCATGTTTTAAGTATTTTATTTATCTTCATACGTATGTTGCAAGTGTTGCATCTAGATATTTCAAAAGTAGATCGGATGTTGCATCTCACTCCTCGCCTTCCACTGCCTCGCCTCGGTGCCTCTTCCTTGTCTTCTGTTGTCTTGCATCATTCTCAAACTACGTAGGGGGCGGAGGGGCCCGGTGAAGGGGGCGCGCCGAGGTTGGTGGCGCGAACGCGAGCGCACGGGGGGATGGTGGCGCGGACGCGAGTGCGCTCTCTCCCTTTCTCTGTTATGTGGGTAGGTAAAAGGTCCTAATATGGCTAGAGGGGGTGAATAGCCTATTTAAAGTTCTACAAAACCACTAGAGCAATTTGATTAGTAAAACAAACGGCGAAATGTAAACTTGCTCTATCTCTACAAAGGTTGCAAGCCATCTACCCAACAATTTTAGTTGCAATGATTTCTAGTCACACAAGTGGCTATATCATTACTCACTAAGAGCTCTCAAGAAGGCTACACTAAAGAGCTCCACTAGATAAAACTAAGCTACAAAGCAAGCTCTCAATTCTAGCTACACTAAAGAGCTTGCTACAACTAGTTTGTGAAAAAATAATGAAGTGAGTAAGATGATTATACCACCACGTCAAGGAATGAACCAATTATAAGATGAATACCAATCAATCATCGAGAGAAATCCAAGAGACAAGTGACACATCAATTTTTCTCTCGAGGTTCATGTGCTTGCCAGCACGCTAGTCCCCGTTGTGTCGACTAACACTTGGTGATTCAGCACTAAGAGGTGTTGCACGAACCTCGTCCACACAATTAGACACCGCAAGAACCTACCCACAAGTGAGGTAACTCAATGACACGAGCAATCCACTAGAGTTACATTTCGGCTCTCCGCCTGGGAAGGTACAAGACCCCTCACAATCACCGAAGCCACCCACGAACAATCACCAACACGTGCCGAAGCTCCTCCGCTGCTCCAAGCCGTCTAGGTGGCGGCAACCACCAAGAGTAACAAGAAATCCACAGCCACAACGATCCCCAAGTGCCACTAAATGCAATCACTCAAGCAGATGCACTTAAAATTACTCCTAATCTCACTATGATTATGAATCAATGATAGAGATGAGTGGGAGGTATTTGCTTAGGCTCACAAGGATGTCAAGTATGTTAAAGTGCCAAGAGTGTGAGCCTCAAGCCAGCCAAACACTATAAATAGGGAGCCCAAACGAATAGAGCCGTTGGCCCCCTGTCTGCTCTAAATTCGTGCTGACCGGGCGCACAGATGGAGTATGACTGGACGCACGCACCCAACGTCCGATCAACCATCGCTGTCCACGTGTCACTGCCTTTGAATAGCGGGCGTCGATCCCCAACAGTCATCTCTCAGTCACGTGAACCATTAAGTTGTGACCGGACACGCCGCTTAAGCCACCTGACGCACGAGCCCTCGACGTCCGATCGTATCTAGTAAGCTTTCAGAGGCATTTTCTAAGGACCAGACGCGTCTGGTCACTAGGGACCAGACGTGTCTGGTCACTAGGGACCGGACGCGCCTTGGAGTAAGGTAGGTTTAAGCCTCACGCGGGGTAGTGACATCAGTGTACGTCAGCGATGACCTGACGCACCCCCTGCACGTCCGATCGCGCCAAGTCGTCCCTCTGGAAAAAGTGACCGGACTCGCCAGTGAGTGAAATCCAGTGTCTGGTCATTTCTCTACACTCTCGGCCAGTCAGCGCCTCCTCGCTATAATTGACCGGACTCAGCTGCCAGCGTCCAGTCACTACAATCTCCTCCTTTTTTTCTAAGTCCGCAACCACTTCGCCCTTGCTTCCAACTTGCTAACCACAAAGTGTAGAACTTGTGTACACGCGTGTTAGTATTTTTCAAAGCATTTTACAAGGATCAAAGTTAGCACACTAGGTTTCTAAATGTATATGCAAGAATAATGTCACCTAGTGGCACTCGATAACTGCTTAGCCAAAGATCTCCCTCTTTATAGTACGGCTATCGATCCTAAACATGACCACACTCTATATAGTGTCTTGATCACCAAAAACAAAACATATCTTATACATTTGCCTTGATCACCTTGGTTTTGTTTTTCTCTTATTTTTTCAAGTTAGAGCTTGATCACCATCATCCCATGTCCATCTTCAACTCCATGGATCTCATCTGGCTCCATCACTTGGATTGGACCACCTTGTCTAATTCACACACTTAGATCAAAGGTTAGTCCTAGGTTTCATCAATTTTCTAAAACCAAACTAGGGCTTTCAATCTCTCCCTTTTTGGTAATTGATGACAACCTATTTACAGAGATATTCAATGAAATCTTTTTGGATTTATGTTGCTTTCCCAAGCATATTACCATGTGTAAAGGTTATGGACAAGTTTCATCAACCCAAATTGGTAGTATTAGCTCCCCCTACATATATACTAAGAGTTTGAATTTGAAATCTTGCACATATGCATGGATTGGAAGTTTTGGGAGAGTAATAGCTACCAAATGATACTAAGGTGTAAAGAATAGACCTTTGAAGTGTGATACCAATCGGAGTTGCCATTTGAACACCATCCTTAACACCATGATTTGCTAGATATCACTTGAAAAGCAAAGACAAACTAGATACCTCGTGAGATCAACATTAGAAGCAAAGTTCTAGTACCACTTGTAAAAGATCATGTAATATCTAGCTATCCTATGCATGCTAGTTTTTCACTTCATCAATCATTTTCTATGATCTAGCATATACCACACAAGCATGGATAAGGAATTTAAGAACTTGTGCCATGCAAGTAAACATATGTAATGCACATACAAATGCAATATACAAGTTTATGAGCTTGCTCCCCCTACTTGTGTGCTTCAAATTTTAATTGACCCCTTAGAATGTCATTTCATTTATTTGCTCCCCCTATCTCTTACTATCTTTATGAATTTCTCTCCTCCTTTGTCAACAATTAGCACAAAATGTGAGCTCAAAATTTTAGATAGGTTGGGGTGAAATAATATGAAGTGAGGATCATTTTTCCAATTTGGTTAAATCTAGATCACTTGCAAAAGATATATAACTCGGTTTGATCTAAGGGCAAGCTTCTTCACACCTCCAAATAAGGGTTATCATGAACCATGTTGAGTTAAACACTTATAGCTCATTTTCTAGATCAAACACTAGGTTCACAAGCCCACAAACATATCATATGCTACCACTAGATCATTTTAAGCATACAAGCAATAGTGGAACCATACAAGCATCAAATTCATTTGATTTTTATGAATGAGCCTAAGACATGATAGGAATGACTAGATTGAAAGGTCCTAATGGCTAGAGGGGGGTGAATAGCCTAATAAAAATTTCTACAACAACACTTAACAAAAGGATTAGACAATTATGAGGCGAAGCGAGTTTTGCGTTAGCCTACCAAAAAGCAAGCCACCTACCACAATTCTAGTTTAAATGGAGTATATCCACACAATGGCTATATCATTACACTAAGTTAGTGTGCTCTCAAAAGCTAACTAAAGAGCCACACTAACCAAACTAACAAGCTCTCACAACTAGTTACACTAAAGAGCTTGACAACTAGTTTGCCGTAAAGTAAAGAGTATGCAAGAAGGTTATACCGCCGTGTAGATGTATGAACCAATCAATCACAAGTGTGGATATCAATGAAGACCAATCACCTCAGAATCAATGATGAACACAATGATTTTTTACCGAGGTTCACTTGCTTGCCGGCAAGCTAGTCCTCGTTGCGGCGATTCACTCACTTAAAGGTTCACGCGCTAATTGGCTTCACACGCCAAACCCTCAATAGGGTGCCGCACTACCAACACAAGATAAGGATCACATAAGCCACGAGCAATCCACTAGAGTATCTTTTGGCTTTCCGCCGGGGAAAGGTCAAGAACCCCTCACAATCACCACGATCGGAGTCGGAGACAATCACCACCCTCCGCTCGACGATCCTCGCTGCTCCAAGCCATCTAGGTGGCGGCAACCACCAAGAGTAACAAGCGAATCCTGCAGCGAAACACGAACACCAAGTGCCTCTAGATGCAAACTCT